GTTATAACCTCGTACATAACCATCCCAAAGCTATAAATATCTGCAACGTTATTGTATGGCTTTCCATTTAGCACCTCTGGGCTCATATAAGGAAGTATTCCGTGAATTTCTTGATTTTTTATGTCTGCTGGGTCGGTAAATCCAAAATCGGCAATGAAAGCATCAATAGGCAATAATATATTTGCAGGGTGAAAGTCACTGTCCACAAGTTCTCTTTCGTGAATTTTTGCTAGAGCATTGGCAATATACGACAAATATCCTAATTTTTCTTCCCAAGTTAATTTGTCGTAGTTAGAACTAATATATTTGCGAATGTCGAGATAATCGTCACTGTTATATTTGTGAAAATAATGGTCACTGGTATACCAACTAAATTTTTCTGGATAACCCATTACTATCCAGTATTCATCTGTAGTTGGGTTTTTAGTTATTCCATAATAACTTATTCCAAAGTAAACATCACTGTACTTTAGAGTCGTTCGAACCTATTGTTGAATAGTTTAATTATATTAAAAAAAGTCTTATTTAAACATTATAAATTGTACAATTTCTACCTCTTTTATAATTTGCTTCGAATCATGTAATTTTAACACAACTTTGCGTTTATCGTCGTTTGATTTTTTAAATCTATTTTTTCTATGATCCCATTTGTAACAGTATAGTGATGCTTTATAAATGCCTTTTACATGACATTTAATATTGGCAAATTTTTCAAAAGGGATACATTGGAAATGCCTTCTGATTTTCATGCATTCATTTATTAGACTATCGATATCCTTATTTTCGCTAGATAATTCATCTTTATAAAGTTGATAGTGATAATCAAAACATTCGTTGCAACAATCGTTTGCTTCACAACGAGTGCATTTACTACAATCATGAATTTGTAGTTTTTCTTGTAAGTCACTTGCACTCTCTTCAATTTTATCTAATGTGTTAAAGAAAAATTAGTAAAGAATGAAAGAAATCAATAAAATAACAACGATAATGATTTACCTTCATTTGCTTCGGCAATTACATATAAATTGGCCCTTGTTGATTTGGCATCGATATCTTTATCACAAAACAAGTATTTTAATATATCAATATTGATTTTACTGCATTTTTAAAAAAGTGAATTTACCTTCATTTGGAATGTACAAACTGACACTTGTAGAACCTAAATATGCGTGATATATTAAATCGATCTGAAATGTCATTTTGATTGAATATAAAAACGAATGTACGTACCTGTAACAGTTGGAATTGATACTAGTTTTGAAGTAAAGATTCGACCGGTGTAGATTGCATTTGAGTGGATTTGCTGTTTTTTGTTTAAATTCGTAGGAATTTTCTCATCAAGATCGCTTAATTTCCGACGCTCCAGATAAGCACACTCTTTGATTTCTTCTCTTGTTCTAGGATATTCTAAAGAACTATAGTGCTGAAAATGCAATGAATTCATTTCCCCAAAACGATCGATAAAGCCTTTAAGTTCCCAAGCAGTTGGTCTGTTTTCTGGAATAGGATCCCAACATTTTTCAATAATGAATTTACAACAATCGGGAATATTAGTTCGTATTGTAGGTCGTACTCCTTTATAGATATCTAATACGAGAATTCTATCATGACTTCGATCACCAAATGGTCGTTCACCAGTTACAACCTCGTACATGACCATTCCAAAGCTATAAACATCTGCAGCGGTAGTGTATGGCTCTCCATTTAGTACCTCTGGACTCATATAGGGAAGTACCCCACAAATTTCTTGGTTAGATTTTTCTATATTTTTTGGAATACATGTACTAAGTCCAAAGTCAGCAATTCGAGGAGTTCTTTCATCTTTCATTAATATATTTCCAGGATGTAAGTCACGATGTACAAACTTTTCACTGTGAATTTTTGTTAGATCGTCGATAATATCAGATAAATAGCTTAATTTTTCATCCCAAGTCAATTTTTCATAGTTGGAATTAATATATTTACGGAGATCACCATCTTTTGCATAAGTCATCACTATTGAATATTCATTTGTGACTGGGTTTTTAGTTATTCCATAATAATTAATATGATCTTCTCGAGCACGCTGAATCTATTTTGAAAAACTTGTTTGTATCAGAAAATAAAAAAAACTTTCACTTAGAAAATGTTCATTTTTTACCTTGTTTATAAATTGTGGAGTAATTTGTTTTGAATTGTGTAATGATTTCAACACAACTTCATATTCTTCCCCTCGTATAAATTTATTTGATTCATGATCCCATTTAGGATAGTAACTACCCAAATAATATTCATAATCCAATAGTCCATCCAACCAGGTTGCTTTATAAATTGACCCAAAACCTCCTTTTGCAAGATATTCAAGGTTGGTAAATCTTTCAACAGGAATCCATTCGAATATATTTTTATATTCATAATTAATTTTGTTGCATTCTTTTATTAGATTGTCGATATCTTTATCGCCGCTAGACAATTCATCGTTATAAATTCGTTTGTGATATTTAAAACAGTCAACGCATGTGTGCCTATTTTGACAATCGTAACATTTACCACAATCATGAGTATTGTGAACTAAACAATCATCGCAGTATGTATTCTCTCCTTGACAACGCAAACATTCACTACAATATTGAGTATTCGTTTCCATCTTTGAATTCGCTTTATATTTGTGAAGTTCACCATAGAATGCATAAGACATTACTATCAAGTAAACGTTTGTAACTGGATTTTTAGTCATTCCATAATATGCTATCTCGGTACCGTAATCATAGCATTTAAGCCCATTTTGAATCTATTTTTGAAAAATTCAATTTTATCAGAAAACAAAAAGCAACTTCACTTTAGAAAATGTTTATTTTTACCTCGTTTGTAAACTCTGGAGTAATTTGCTTTGAATTGTGTAATGATTTCAGCACAACTTTTGTTTCACCTCTTCGTTTAAATTTATTTTCTTCATGATCCCACAAGTCAACATCATTTAATGGACCATCCAACCAGGTTGCTTTATAAATTGACCCAAAACCTCCTTTTGCAAGATATTCAAGATTGGTAAATCTTTCAAAAGGAATCCATTCGAATATGTTTAGATTTTCATAATTAATTTTGTTGCATTCTTTTATAAGATTGTCGTTGTCTTTATCTCCGCTAGACAATTCATCGTTATAAATTCGTTTATGATATTTGAAACAACCAACGCAGCCAAAATTTTCTTGACATCTAGTACATTCACTACAATCATGAGTATTGTGAACTAAACACTTATCACAGTACTTATCTTCTTGACAATCAGTACACGCATATTTACGAAGACGACCATTTGCATAATCCATCGCTATTGAATATTCATTTGTAACGGAGTTTTTAGTTATTCCATAATATCTTATATAATCGCTATCAGTGCATTTAAGAGCAGTTTGAATCTATTTTTGAAAATTTGATTGTATTAGAAAATAAAAAAGGAACTTTCACTTTAGAAAATGTTACCCAAGAATCTCAGGAATATCGAGTCGATCCTTCCAGTTTCCGGGGGTGTCGTTCCGCGCCTTGCTACCCCGCAAACTGGCAAATCGCGGGAGGACCAACGCTACCCCTTACATTTTTTACCTCGTGTATATACTTTTGAGTAGTTTGCTTTGAATTATGTAATGATTTCAACACAACTTTTATTTCCCCTCCTCGTATAGCTTTATTATTTCCTTCATGATCCCAACTGTGAATTTGTCCGTCTAACCAGGTTGCTTTATATATTGTCCCAAAACCTCCTTTTGCAAGATATTCAACGTTGGTAAATCTTTCAAAAGGAATCCATTCGAATAATTTTTCAACGTTATTAATTTTGTTGCATTCTTTTATTAGATTGTCGATATCTTTATCTCCGCTAGACAATTCATCGTTATAAATTCGTTTGTGATATTTAAAACACTCATGGCAACGCGAACTTATTTGACATTTGTAACATTTACTACAATCATGAGTATTGTGAACTAAACACTCCTCGCAGTATATATTCTCTTCTTGACAATCAGTACATTCATTACAATCATGAGTATTTGATTCCATCTTTGAGTTCACTTTATATTTGTGAAGTTCACCATAGAATGTATGCATTACTATCAAGTAATCGTTTGTAATTGGGTTTTTAGTCATTCCATAATATGCTATCATTTTGCCATAATCATAGCATTTAAGAGCAGTCTGAATCTATTTTTGAAAAAATTGATTATATTAGAAAAAAAGCAACTATCACTTTAGAAAATGTTCATTTTTACCTCGTTTATAAACTCTTGAGTAATTTGATTTGAATTGTGTAATAATTTCAACACAACTTTTGTTTCTCCTCTTCGTTTAAATTTATTTTCTTTATGATCCCACATGGGCTCGCGATCATTATTCAATAATGGTCCATCCAACCAGGTTGCTTTATAAATTGACCCAAAATCTCCTTTTGAAAGATATTCAACGTTGGTAAATCTTTCAACAGGAATCCATTCAAATATATTTGGGTATTTATAATTAATTTTGTTGCATTCTTTTATTAGATTATCAATATCTTTATCTCCGCTAGACAATTCATCGTTATAAATTCGTTTGTGATATTTGAAACAGTCCTCGCAATATTCAAAGGACAAAAGTTCCAAATTAATATCTTCTATGTATATGATTTTACCTGAACATTTAGTACAACCGCAACAACTATGAGTATTGTGAACCAAACACACATCGCAGTATCTATACCGAACACATTCATTACATACATCACAATCGTGAGTATTCGATTCCATTTTTTGAGTTCAGCGGAAAAATGAGTGGAACATCTGATTCCCGGGCAATTGATCTACATCAGCCAATCAAACGAAGTATGAGACCAGGGGTACTAATTACGGAAAAATACGGTAATATTAAAAAAATGACATTTCAACTAATTCTATTTATACGTTTCGAATCGCGACATCGCCACCAACGCCTCTCGTCCAAACCGAATTTCCTTCAAATATCTTACACGAAAATATAGCCACAGTAAAATGGCAACAAGAAGTCGCACCCTACTCTTTTTACAATACCGTAACTCGTTTGCGCGTTCCAGCATCTCGAGACCAACGGTGTCTGGTAACTCGTTTGATCCTTACGCAGCAAATGAAAGTGCTGGCTTGATTGAAAGCTCAGACCATGTCATTGAATTATCGATCTTGCCGCCTAAATGGTAATACCATCATATATGGTTTTGTGTTTTGTGGAGAAAAACGAGAGAGAGATTGATTCTCCTGTTATTATTTTTTTCAGGGTTGACATTGCCGACGAAGTTGACGAAGAAATTGAACAAATAAAAACCTCAAGTGAGCTTTTATTTTATTTTTCTCTTTGACCAATAATTTGGAGATACATTAATCAAAATGCGCGTATTTGAAATTTAAAGTTACTACACTGGAGGGACTGCACAAAAAACACATCCTCCCCGGATTTGAAGACAGATCGGAAGAAGAGGAAAAAATCGAAAAGTTAACCCGAGAAATAACAAAAGTAATGTCGTGATTTAGATTTTTTTCTTGAATTATGAGGGGTGTAAAATTGAATATGTGGTAAAAATTGTTATTCACTCAAGGTTTTCTGCTGATGGCCGAAAATTACTACCAACCTAACTACCATAACTACTACTAGCTCTTTCATCAATGTCATGACAAAATAAGACGAATTGCTGATGAAAGTCGACTTTCATCGATAACTTCACAAGAAGAATCTATGAGTAAAAATATTCAGACTCGATTAGCCATGAAACTACAAGATTTGTCTTCGAATTTCCGAAAGCAACAATCCTCTTATATGAAAAGTGTGTAGCCATCCTTTATCATTATAATTTTTATATTATTTCACCTGATGATTGAATATGGTCTCTTTATTAGAATTAAAGGTACGAGAATCAAGAAGTTCTCCCTTATTTTCATTAGACAGTAGAACGTCCTCCGATAATACAAGTGATGACTTAGAATTGGTAAGGAAGCGCGACGTTTTATAATTTTATATAGTCGTCGTCGTCGTCGTCGTCTTATATGAAAGTTTTATCTCTAACCCGGTTAAAATTAAACAAATAAGGGATTTACATTGGAACAACGAGAAATAATGGAATCAACAGAAATAAGAATCACGCAGCGAGAACAAGAGATAAATGAGATCGCGAAATCGATTCAAGAGCTGGCCGATATTTTTCGCGAGCTCCAGACTTTAGTGATTGATCAAGGAACAATGTTGGATCGGATTGATTATAATGTAGAGCAGATGTCTGTGAACGTTAAATCCGCTGTTCGTGAATTAGATCAAGTAGGTTTATGATTTATATTCGAATTTTTTTCAAGATTAAATATAATAATCAATTAATGGTGCTTTTGTGAAATTTTATCATATAGGGCTCGAAATACCAAAAGAAAACGAGAAATCGTAAAATAATTCTGTTGTTAATGCTATTAATTTTTGGCTTATTTATAGTACTTATATTTAAACCGAGACGAAAGAGTTAAACGTTGTTGAAGATATAACCATGGACATTTTTTTAAATACTAATTAATATTTGCTTCTAGGATTAATAATTTACTAATCTCTGTTTCTTAATTGTATAATATTTATTCTCATCATTTGTATTTTAGATTCTCATAATAATGTAATAATGATAAATGCGGTAGAAAATATGCATGTTCATGGAATAATAATATACACAGTCACACTATAGGGAGACTAATTAATATCCAAAATTGTAATAAACCCACTCGATAGATTGATTTAATAATAAATTTTCAAACTCTCGATATAGTGGATTTTTTTTGAAATTTTTTTGATACACTAGACAATCATTCAAAATTGTATCGTATCGTATTAGGAAATGTAATATGCGAATATATATTTTACACGTATCGTGTCACGAGATCATCTTGGTTCGTAATTTCTTTCTTTTTAAGTAGTGGCTGTCGTTCATTTTCTTCATTACTGTGGCTATTATTAGAAGCAGATAATGTAGTGTCCACCACGATCTCGTCATCGATACTTGATTTAGATGGATGTCGATAGAGGATATAATGTTGTATCATGAAAATCAAGTCGAATAGGATACTTAGTAAACCTAGACCACTACAAAGAATTATACGATTTAATTAAAAAGTTGTAAAACTTTAACAGAAAAATAAGAAACTTACAATTTGATGGGATCCTATAATAAGGTAGGCGGGGAATCGGATAGAAACAAAACGAATAATTTTAAAATGAATATTGTCGAGAGAATGGACATGTTAATCTACATCAAAATTTTCCTTACCCCTGATATACCACTCCAATTATTTTCGAGATACGCGTCAAATATCAGTTGAAATAAAGAAAGCATGCCACCCGTAAAATCCTATTGAAAATTTGAGTTCAATAAAGTGAATTGATTAGCAACAGAACTAAAATAAGTGAATCAGAAGAAACGATGATTACCAATAGGATATTATGAATGCTCCATCCAATCGTGCTCTTTCGCATGTAATTTAGACGCACCTATTCCGAAACAAAGAGGATGCTTAATAACAAATGAGGAGAACGAATAAGCAATATGATATAAAAAACCTCACCTGTGGCAAGTACTTTATCAAACTAATACACAACTTGATATAACCTAAAAAGTACAATAAATCAATCCATTCTTTCCCGTCAAGCACTCGAACTGATAACAAGAATATTCCGAATAATGTCAGAATTATAAAAGCTCGAGCAGTTGAAGAAAGTCGTTGGTATTTGTCTCGCTGATTGATATGTTTAATTCATCGGAATAAAAATTATTTTATGAAATGTAAACAACATTATCATTAAAAGTAAAGTTATGTACCTTATATATGAACGACTGGTATAAAGTAAAGGCACTGACACCAAAAGCATGCACCGCAAAAAAGACGTCATTGGCACGTACAAGGTTATCGCTTCCCCCATTTCTTCTGCGATATTCTTCGCGAATTTCATCTGATAAAAGAAATGCGATATTGAATGCCTGAATATAATTTAGGGTTAGTTAATTTATTCATTTATCAAATTATTCATTCATTTATTATTTACCGAATAACACGCAAATCCGTATATGTTGTACCACAGAAAATCTATTGATAGCCCCTGTACACTAAAGTAAAATTAAAATAATGAGTCATTTTTTTACACCAACAAAAATGGTGTTCATTGATCTACCAATCTACCTTTTTCGTTTCCAATTGAGAAAAACCTATTTTTATAATGATATCGATATATTAGGAATGACTTGGAATTAACTTTTACCGCATACTCGCCCGTGCGCGTTATTTCGAATCACGGCTCGCATTAAGCTTAATTCGGGCCGAAATTTGAAATTACACTAGTTCGCGAGCATACGGTAGGCAAATAAATATAAAAATTATGTACCTGTGGATAAAAACTTATTGACCATGATAAGAAATAAACCTTTTTTGTAAGGTAAAATGTACAAAAATTATTGATAATGAAGTCAAATGACACCATATAACATGTGCATCGTCACATGATACTCCAAAAAAAGTAAACATATACCCAACCAATGAACTTTGAAAATAGTATTGCGGCTGTATTTATATTATCGTCATTATTAAAAAAAAGTCCGTGCATCATTAAAATATAATTTCTCTATGTAGTATTTATTATAAAAAATATATGCTAATCTCTAACGTATATATATACAAAATTGTTTGTGTAGAGGCGAATTTGTTTGATACAAATTGTTAATATTTTTGTTGTATAACGAAATAAAAAAAAATGATTTTTGTTTCGCGTTTCATTTCTATCGTCATCTCCTTGACTATTTATGCCTTTTTTTTATCGGCATTACAAATTAAAATTTACGCGATTGTTGATCGTTGATCTATTTACGATGATCATTTACGAATGATCAAAGGAGGAACTCGGATGTTTTATTGGTGAATTATGATGCCATATTGACATGAAATTATCTTAATTAGCTAGAAATCAGGAGAATTTTGAAAAGGGATTCTATACAATTAATATAATCCAATAGAAATCAATGATAATGACGAAAGATAGGCAAGGTAAATTTTTTTATCCTTGATAAATAAATAATATATTGTTTATAAAATTGCACTATCCCCGCGCCAAATCATGGCACAACCAGCACGACTCTCTGTAATGTCTTCTGCGACTGATACACGTCATCACTCTTCAAAACGTGCGTCAATAGTAGATAGAAATTTAAATAAAACGAAAGCAACGGAGGTTGTTCATTTAATTAAATTTTTTTGTACGTTGATTTTTAATATAATTTAGGAAGTTAGTTGAATGAGAATTGTTTTGATATTATCAGGTTGGGTTAAGCGCATTTGCATTTCTGTTTTCTGAGATGCTGCAGTATGCGCAAAAACGAGTTCATGGGATACAGGATCTAGAAAGAAAGCAAGTATTTCTATAGAAAAAGAAATCGGGAAAGGAGAAACAAAAAAAAAATTAATAATCAGATCCCCTTTTTCAGATTAAATGATTTTGGATACCGAGTAGGCACCCGATTACTTGAACTTATAGTATGGCGTGAAAAAAATAGTAAGCGTGAAACACGTGTGATTGGTATTCTATCGTTTATCAATACAACAGTATGGAAAACCTTGTTTGGAAAACAGGCTGATTCGTTAGAAAAGAGCACCGAGAATGATGATGAATGTAGATCAACAATTTATTTTTCAATTTACTATTTAATCTGTCATATGCTTTCACCTAACTATTCTCGTCATAGATATGATATCTGACAATGACCCGCTGATAACAAAATTCATATCAGTCCCAAAAGAGTTGTCGCAGTTGAATTGTAACGCTTTCCTGGCTGGTATCGTGGAAGCCATTTTAGATGGTGCACAGTTTGTAAGTATCATTTTTCCCATAAAATTCTATTCCATGATCAATTAATTGAATCCTTTTGCAATAGCCATCTCGTGTTACTGCACATTCAAATCCAATAGATGGGTTCCCGTTAAGAGCAACAATACTCATTAAATTAGATCGTGAAATTTTGCAAAGAGAAGAGCAGCTACGCTAATGCTGACGATTGTAAAATAATTTATTCTTTTTTATTATTGTATTCTTTTAAGATCTTGAAGAGCTGATCATGTATTTGTTGTCCTGATTTTTATTTGGCAAAAATTCATGTTCAAAATTTACCTTAATTTTATGTTGTCAAATGTTAAGATTGAATATTTCCGTCCAAATTCAAAATAATCTAATAATGTCTTTATGATTACTATTTCTTTCTCCGAGCCGCAATTTTGGCACGTTTTCCTTGCCCTTAAACAAAGAATTAAAAAAAAAATGTAACATTTCAATAAAATCGAGAACCAAACCTAAAAACCCAAATATAAGAAAAAATATACCCTTCTTCGGTGGCCCTTTGCCTCTTTTACGTTTCTGTGCTGCATCTAACAGCCGCTGCTTTTCCCTTGCGTCCACGAGCTCAACTTCAGGTAACGCGAGCCGTAATCTTCTAAATGGAATCAATTGTCTCGGATACCACTTTATTATCGCGGGTCCGATTAATTGTTTTCGCAGAATTTTTCCGCCAACGCGCTGACCGGTGGGGTTGTACGCGCGATGGAATATGTTTGCAGTAAGTTGTGCGAGTTTCAGGAGGCGATCTTTGGAGGGAACTGGTGTAAATGACATTACAATTTAATGATAGGATTGCGTGTATGAGTATCAATCAACATTAATAGAGTTGATCTAGATTCGGATCGTAATTCGTATTGAATTACGATAAAGATTTAAATGTCGCGTATCGGTGTAGATTTTACGCGTACTCGATTAATGCCTGCCCTTGCACCATAATGGATAAATATGAAGAGGCTTTACCCAGTGTGTTTTTTCGACCCTCAGAACCAAGTTTTTTGCCCAGAGACTCTCTTACGAGTCAAGGGGATTCTTCATATGCGGGTGATGACACTTTTCTAACGGACAGTTGTGATGAAGGTGACAAAGATATAACCGAGCAAGATAAATGGAATTTGGTATAACATACATCTCTTGCGACGTTATTTAGAAAATAAATGAATGCTACCTATTATTTCCATAAGAAATATATTAAAAGCATGAATTTTTACTAGATAGACGAATGGATAAAAAAATTTTACAAAAATAAACTGATACCGCCTTTCGAGCGAAACTCGGCAACTGCTTCCGCGTTATACGAGTTGGCTCTTTTTAATATAAAGCAGGATGCGATGGCCGAAATTACACTTAAAAATCTTAAAGTTCATGCCATGGAATATAGTGATGAGGGTATTTTTTGTTATTACATGAATAATTCATCAAAGCACACTAAACGCGTTGACTTATTCATTCGCGTTTCTTTTTTTTCGAGTATAGCTAAACGAATCAAAAATATTCTTGACACCATGGGTGTCTCCAAAGAAAAACTGTCAAAGAATGGTAGCGCTGCATTAAGTACATTGAGCTCGCTGGCTATTAGTTTAGGATTGAGTGATGTGGAAAATAGCAGGTAAATTATTTAATCATGATATGCTATATATATATATATATATTGCGATATGTAATACTTTCAATTGTTAGTTATATTCGAGCATTGGCGCAACTAAATATTGACACTGCGAGAGCTGAACGCAAGCATAAAGATGCCATGAGCGCTGCTTCAGTTTTAGAAACACGTATACAAGAGGCAAATATTCGGATTACAAAACTTTCTAGGTATTTACATACATGTATTCTTATTTGTATCTTTATAATAATAAAGTGTCAAGTTTCTTTATCATGAAATTAGACTTTTATCCAATCTTCGAAATAACTGGGATTCAATGGAAGGACAAAAATTGCGAGAATGGAAACAAAACACGAAAACATTAACACAGAAAGGATATGAATATCAAGAACGATTGTCAAGCTTAGAGGCATGTTCTATAATCACGCTACCCTTCTTATCCCATTGTTTTTTCCACTATTAAACAAATTCGTGTTGATAGCAACAATACTCATCAATGAATATCGAAGAAGGTGGTTTACGCCTAGAAAAACTCAAGCAACAAGAAGAACATGTGATAGAAATGGAAAAAGAAATGCAAATAAAAAGCCAAAAATTGAGAAATTATCAAGATATGCCACCGGTGAGTGCGTGCATCGAAATTCCTTTTACTCATAAGTTAACTTTTATTATTCTCAATTTTAGGATATCAAACTAGCAACTCTAAAATTACATGAGGCCAAAGAAAAACTGGTTTGCATCAATTGAACTCCATGATTTTTTTCATCTAAAATTTACACTAAAGACTTGCTTTCCGCTCGGATCTTAGAACGATTTAAAAATCAATAGGGAAGAGCTACTTACCAACATGGCAGAGAACGTCTGGTGATTTAAAGTTCACTCCCCTCAAAAGTTATGTTCAACTCCATGGATTGATCTTGATGCAAGTGAATCGACCGCAAGGTTTCAATAGTTTCTCCAATTCGGATAATTTTTTACGTCATCAAATCAAAAATCTATCACCATGTCACAAATTAATAAATCCATACAGTATTTTACTATTTTGCAGTACAGTATTAGATGTTTTTATTTTTGTGTTCATTGGATTGTATGAGAGTGAAAATCATGTGATTAACGATTAGCGATGTAGCTTATAATCAGGGATATCGATAAATCACATGATCCGATGAGGTTTTAATGTTTTACATAAATGAATGATGATAGACTTTAAACATTAAGCATAAATATGCAGATCTTAACAATTTTAATACTTGCACATTTACATAAAAAAAATGACCGAAGAAAGTTGCGAAAGACATGCTTCCAAGCTACAAGTTCTCGAGACATTACTTGCAAATCAAAAATTTCAAAATAAATTAGAGGAACACCTGCAAGCTATTAGACACTCAAAGCAAAAAAATCTCGAAATACAGGTATATTTAAATGAAATTGCAAACCGAAATTTATTGATTGACAAAAATGAATTATTGACATTTAGAGACGAATCAATGCGCTTTGTCAACAAGACGAAAAAATATTATATCTTCCAATTCCAGAAAAGAAACAAGAACACCATTTTGGTCCTCCGTTTTTTGTTGATAAAAATGGTTCAGTAAGTGTTTTCGGTAATTCTTGGAAGGGGAAAGATTTAAAGGTGGATTTTTACGGTTATAAAGTGGCTAATCAATAATTAATCTCCCTAGGTTCCACCAGATAACGAGGATACAATAAAGAATCTAAACAATCCGCCACCGTTCCCTAAATCACGTCGATGTGAGTTTTTAATATGTTCTTTATGATAAATGATTTTATGATTTTTGACCAGCTTTTTATGTGCATTTTTTTTAGGGTCGCATGCTGAACGTAATACGTTGAGAACAGCAATCAGAGAACGTAATATGAGAATAATAGCGGAAAAAAATATGGCAGAGTTAGTAAAAAAATTCTATAATATAATCAATCTTTCTGCAATTTTACTGATTATCAATTTCTCTTTTCCCTGTACATACCAGAGGTTGCCCTTTCGATCTTGTCACTAAATATAAAGATTCAATCATATTAAGCGAATCAAAGGGTCTAGCTGATGACCTTCCCGAACTAGCAAAAAAATACGTACGTATGAATATTATTTATCTATATGCTATATATATTTTAACTATTTTCTGATAAACTCGTAAAAAAAAAGTTACCAAATCGAACTCCCGCCGAATGCTTCATTCAGTGGATCAATAATGACCATCCGCTCATAAATAAAGAATCCTGGTCACAAGAAGAATCGAAAAAATTACAAATGCTAGTAAAGGGACGAAAATCTGTCAATTGGCAGCAGATTGCTCTCGAACTTGGGGTAAGTAATGTTTTTAATTTGAATGAATCATACAATTTTTCAATATTTTTATGGAATTTTTTTTTATTCGTAATTCTAGAATACAAGAAATGCCATCTCATGCTTCAAAGAATGGAAGAGACAAAGTATTCCTCGACGGTAAACACAATTACCAACTTATATGAACTGGACTTTGATAATACAATCTATTTTAATTAAAATTTTCCTCTTCATTTAGAAAATGGACAAAAGAGGAAGACCAAAAGCTTATTCGAGCTGTGAGTATGTACGGTGAAGGTAATTGGCAACAAGGTAAAGGGTTATTTTAGTATTAAATTTAGAAAATTCCGAAGTTTTATTTTATTCCTTAGTCCATTTCAAATAATGGTCTTTTTCATAATTACAGTGGCACACTGTTTCGATAATCGTACAGGACAACAGTGTCTTCATCGATGGACCAAAACCTTGAGTCCTATTCGGAAAACCGGACGATGGAGTGCAAAAGAAGATGAGGTAGTAATGACATCATATTATGTGATACAACTACAGTTGCACCTCTATAAGAACAATTTTTCAAAAACGAACTACATAATTATAAATTTTTATAAGAACCAGGTTTTTTTGTCCCGACCATGTTCTTCTAGAGGGATGCAACTTTACATATAATTTTTGTATGTTTGTCCAGAAATTAGAGATGCAAAATATATCTAACAATCCAATAATTATAGCTTCTTAAACAAGCGGTCTTGCTTCACGGACCTAAAAATTGGGTAAAGTTGCAACAATATGTACCGGGACGCACCGATGTCCAGTGCAGGGAACGATGGAAAAATGTTCTAGATAGTTCCATCAAAAAGGATAGATGGCTTCCAGAAGTAAATAGAAGCATCTGTTTATTTTTTCTTCAGGAAAAAACATATACTCATATCAATTGAAAAAAATTTAGGAAGACGAAAAGCTTTTGCAATTTGTAAACGAATTTGGCAAAAACCAATGGTCCAGAATTTCGAAGGAACTGAATAACGGGAGAACTGATAATCAGGTAAGAGCTTTTTGTTGCAACAAAAATGGTAATATTAATAATATTGACAAATTTTAATTATTTGATAGTGTCGTCGAAGATATCTGCAACTGAACAAAAAAAGACCAAGACAAAGAAGGGAAAAGACACAATTACTAACAAAATCACCTCAACCTCAACAACCGATCATATAGAATGACACCACATGATAGTATTATTTAAATAATCCGCGCCGCGTTTTGTTGAGTATAATAAGATAGTGCTTATTCACGGAAGGTTTTTTACTAACTCTGCCATATTTTTTTCCGCTATTATTCTCATATTACGTTCTCTGATTGCTGTTCTCAACGTATT